AGGAGAGTGACAGGACTCATAACGGGACACTGTCACTTTAGGAAACATCTACATAGACTAAAGCTTGTAGACAGTCCGGTCTGCCGAGGATGTGAATCGGCGGATGAAACTTCTCTGCATATCCTGGGCGAGTGCCCGGGATTTGCACGTAGCAGAATGGCGCTCCTTGGGAGACCCTATTTGGAACCCAAGGAATTGAGAGAAATGTCAGCAAGGAAGCTTTTGGACTTTGTAAAAAGGACAAATCTACTTGCTGAATAGGACTAGTAGTGGGACGCACAATAGGCCTAATTAGGCCGCAGTACTATGGGACTTTTAAAGGACCAACCACTAGATGAAGATGAAGATGAAGAAGAAGAAGATCCTGTGAAACAATTAGACACACAGCCGGAATATTTGAACGGGTTCGCCAATCAAGGTGTAATAGGATAGATGCCTGTATTAGAGTTGAAGGTGCACATTTTCAACAACTGTTGTAACGCCTGTGTATGTAAAGTATTTTTCATATCATTGCTGTTTGTTAAATATTTTTTCTTATGTTTCTGTTAATATTAATTATTTAAAAATATATTATTTAGTGAGTTATTGTTTCTCAGCTTGTTACATCGTTTTTCCTTCAAATGTATTGTTAAAGTTGATTAGTAAATAACTAAAACTTTCAATTTCTATTTTTGTTTTCTACTTCCCTTAAGAATGTGCACATGAAAGGATATTATTTCTTTGCTCGAAAACGAAGCAAGATATCAAAAAAAGTAAAGAGACAAAAAAGTTGTATTGTTAATCGCATAATTAGAAAAAAAATATGACACCTAAGAAAAAGCAGCGACATCTCATGTGTTTACTTATTAATATCAACATGAGTGAGTCCCCGGACGCCGCTGGAATAGATAAAATAAATCAAATCACGTCAGAAGACGTCTACCGTTATTATAAAGAAATATACCAAATTTCAAAAAAATCGGAATTAGGGTTCTCCAGATATTAGTAAAAACCTTGCATTTTCTCTAAATTTCAACACCCTGTATCTCCGAAACGAAACATTTTCGGACATAGGTTTATAGGAACTTTCTTTCTTATTTTTGGTCAAGGAAACTCCCCCTGATATTTTTCGCAATAGTAATGTAATATTTAAATTTTGTCCAATATGAAGATTTCAGACCTATTTCTTTTCTTTTTTTTTGTCTCTATTACATAAAACTCTACAACATTCCTTCTCAGAACGAACGATAGATATAGCGTATAGGTGACCATCCTAGTGGAAAGATATTCGATAACCTGAGGCCACCAACGAACAGCAATAATAAAAGCACGCACGAATTTTACCTGATGGAGTTTTGTCCCTTGGAATTTTTGTTGTTCTCGACCGAATCACGAAGTTTTATCGAGATTAGGTACATGACAGTGAAATATTTTCATTTAATTATTATCAAGCAAAAGCGCCACTACGAAAATGAATGGAGTTGTCACATAATAAATTTTTCAGGGACTTTACTTCATGGATATTGGCAGTGACTGCTAAATAAATAAAAGAGCCTCGTTCAGAAATAAATTACTAATTAATATTTATTGTTGTCGCAACGCAAAGTAAAGGCAACTCTCTACAGGATAAAATAAACAAAGTTTTCACAAACGGATTCTCATATCCAATCGTGGCCAAAATATTTGCAAGTGTATATTATTTGCCATTTCTAGTAAAAGATTTTCTTATATTTAATTTAATAAAATAAACATTGTTCTTTCTTTTTAAATACAAGTGTTAATCAGATGACTTTCAAAAATTCCCACAATCAGTACATCTTGGGGATTCTGGTAACGTTGTCCCCCAGTATTTCCGGAATTTTTTATATAAATGTTTCTATAATTTCTCTTTATGTGTCCAAATTAAAAGATGCTTGATAGGCAAATAAAATTTAAAAGGTTTGCATAATTTAAATAAAATAGGAATACTAAATGAAATATTAAAACATGTCGATGTATATTTAAAGATAATAAAATAATAAAAACAATAAATTATTATCTGTTTATTCCGGGTGTCCCATTTAAAAAAAAACACGTGAATACCTCTTAAGTTAAGGGCTTAATGAAAAAATTTTTCTAATAAAAGTTGTAGGGTTTTGAGAGGGACATCTAATGGTGACCTTGACCAAGGTCATTTAAAGGTCGAGTAGATTTTTTCAATTAGAAACACATATATTTGACACCAGAAATGAAAAGAGCAGAAATTACATCCGACTATGACCTTGACCATGACCGTCAAGGTCATTTGAAGGTCATTTTAGTTGTTATTGCAAAATTCTACTTTTGAGACCAGAAGCGAGAAGAGCGGGCCATTTCACGTCCATCTATAACATTGACCTTGACCTTGAACGGTCATTTCAAGGTCAAGTTAATTTTTCAAATAGAAACCGGTATCTTTCTGACCAAATTAGAAAGTTCGGAGAATTTTGCTTCCGGATATAACCTTGATCATGACCTTAAGTTTCAAAAGTCATTTGAAGGTCATTCTAGTATTTTGAGGGAAAACTTTAATCTTGTTCGTATTTTTCTTTTTAATATGTGGGGCTCGCCATAATTTTCCAGAGTACCCATTAACCCTTTGCGGCATGCATTTTTTATTCAAATGTTTTTGAATTCAGACCAGCTCAGAATTTAGTAATAGTTAAATCCGATAAGGCGGATCCAATATGTCGAGTACTCGACGCGACCTTGAGTTTTAACGTAGGTTGAAGCATTTTCAAAGTGTTAATCTATATGTATATTAGAAATGTTTACCAAAAATTGGTCGGCCATATTGGATTTGAATATTTTCAAATTCTGACTTCATGTTCGCGATCAGCGCCCTCGAAAACCCCCATGTATAGTATTCGGCAAGACGGAAATGAATTTTGCAACAAGAAACTAAAATGACCTTCAAATGTCCTTCACATGCCCTTGAAGGTCATGGTCAAGGTCATAGTCGGATTTAAAATTTTCTGCTCTTTTCATTTCTGGTATCAAAAATATGTTTCCATTTGAAAATATCAACTTGACCTTGAAATGACCTTGAAGGTCATGGTCAAGGTCACCATTAGATGTTCCCCCAAAACCCTACAACAATTATTTGAAAAATTTTTCATTAAGCCCTTAACTTACGAGATATTCACGTGTATTTTTTAAAATGGGACACCCGGTATATTTAGAGAATTATCAGCACGTATTTTCAGCTCGTAAACCAATAAATTTAGAAAATTTATCAATTTTTCACTAAAATATGTAACAAATAATAAGAAATAATGACATGATCTTGATGTATGTGTACGCTATTCTCTACATATATCTAGACTGTCCAAGATTGTTATATGACATACTATGTATAACGAGACTAGGAAAACACAGTGAAACACTTAAATCTGTAATTGTCCTGAGGATGTCACGATAAGTGACGAAACGTCGACAATTGAGAAAATTTGCTGTTTTTCTTTGAAATTTGGCCTCTAATCTTCCCACTATTGACAACAAACTGAATAAAAATAAGGCTACCAATATCATTAGTTAATAAGAAATAATAATAAGAAATAAAGAATAATAATATGTAAGACTATATTACCATGGCAGAAAGGTAATCCAAAAATAAATCAATGCTGCAAAAATATACAGAATGTTCCTTTAAAAATAACAGTCTTCAGTGGAATTTCTTCAATAACATTACAATAAAAAGAAAATTGAGCAGCTATTGTGACAAAACCATAAAAAAATCGTTTAAACATTTTTTAGATGTCTCTTATAACAACCGATATACAAGATACTATTTAAATCGGACAAATTCTAGAAGTCCTAGAAGTCTAGAAGACAGGAAACCAAACAAGAAATAAATGTGTATGCACCACCAAAGGACCCCGCAATAATCTTATGGAAATTGGGTTTCTGTTAAATTGTCTGAATTTTTGATATGTTGTAGGTTTTGTCATCCTGAACAAAAGTCTCCATGGGCACAAAGTGGCAAAATGAACGTTTTGGCAGCTACGGAGCTGCCAAAGCTCCCCTGACCCGTTGCAAAACTATTCATTTTCAATACTATTTACAGATGTCAAAAGCATATTTTAATTATTCTAATATATAGGGTAATGTTTTTGAGGTCACTGGATTCAACCCTCATGTCAGATTGGACAAATTGACCGTTGACAGCTGTCAACGGTCAATTTGTCCAATCTGACATGAGAATTGAATTCAGCGACCTCAAAAACCCAAACTCTCAATGTGAAAAAAGGATATTTACTTTTATATTCCTCGTTGACAGTCAATTGACAGCTGTCAACTGTCAATTTTGCCAATCTGGCATGAGAATTGAATTCAGCTCCCTTAAAAGCCCAAACTCTCAATGTGAAAAGAGAATATTTACTTTTCTATTCTTCGTTGACAGTGTATTGACAGCTGTTAGCGGTCAATTTGTCCAATCTGACATGAGGGTTGAATCCAGTGACCTCAAAAACATTATCCTATATATTAGAATAATTAAAATATGCTTTTGACATCTGTAAATAGTATTGAAAATGAATAGTTTTGCAACGGGTCAGGGGAGCTTTGGCAGCTCCGTAGCTGCCAAAATGTTCAATTTGGAACTTTGTGCCCATGGAGACTTTTGTTCAGGATGACAAAATCTACAACATATCAAAAATTCAGACAATTTGACAGAAACCCAAATTCCATAAGATTATTGCGGGGTCCTTTAGTTCGAAAAAAGAGCTCAAGACAACTATACCAATTTTTTTCTATCACTGTTTAGGTTGTACCATACAATGCCAAAAAAATGGTCACCTTGAACACTTACTCTAAAGCTTGAACCATCAATCCACCATAAAATGATCATCTGTTGCTAAACTACTGAATGAAAAAAAAATGTGTTGATTTACCTCATAATCATCAAATAAACAGAAACAATCCCTCATCAATCTTTCATATAGCCTACTATTCCCTGGAGAAAAACAAGCGTGACCTAATTAATGGAAGTTGTCCCTTCGCAGGTCAGAGGCGTAGAGATCGGGATCGTCCTCCTGGTGCTCTTCGTGTGGATAGCAGCCATCGCGCTCTTCTTCAACCGGTGGGGGAAGATCCGCATGCTGCTGCCCTACCAGCCGGACTACAAGCAGGAGCAGCTGAAGGTGCCGGGAACGGCGGCGTGCGCGGCCGCCACCGCCACTGGCGCCGCCTGCACGCACAACTCCGGTGACCACATTTGCCAGCAGGTAACTACTAACATTCTCTTATACATTTTTTGAACTAGGAACTTAATACATTAACGTTATTGGAACCCCAGCGCGGAGTTGTTGAGGCAGATAGAGCACTTTTTGTGCTACCTACACAATAGTAATACGCAGTCCCCTCTCCCGTACAAGTCATAGATTTCTGTCTGGAAAGGGGGAAAAGTGCTGTTATTTTTTTATTCTTGTTATTATACTGAGTACTGTTTTAGATAATCTCAGCAACTTTGCTTTATCTACAGAGTGTTCCCCATTTTCCCTACAAAAATTCAGGAATACATGGAGGACGTAAAAATAGTGGCACTTTCTTATTTAAACAAATCTAAAGATTTTGAAGCAAAATGTTGTGCACAAAACATAAATAAAATAGCATTTAAGATGAAAAAATTGAAATATTACGAGTGTTGGTTACGTTTTTCTCAAAAATTATGGCACGCCATTGGGACATTGGGTTTTTTTTGTCGTTTTTGAAATGCATGTTTTATTTTGAACGAAAAAGATATCCTGACTTTTTATATAGTTTTTATCGTTTTAGCACGAATTAGCAGCTTGTAAAAATGACACGTCTAGATTTATTTAAAATTATACAGGATGGTACACCACAACGTGTTAAAAATGAAGAAGCGTTTTCTAACTCAACGTGAAGAATATTTTTCATATAAACAATTAAAAGGCTTAATTATGCTAATATAAAGGTTTCAACTTTTTTTTTAATATGGAAATACAGGGATATTTTTGAAATTGGGAACATACTATGTGAGAAGACACGTCGAAAAATACATATAGGGTCATTCAGTCATTCAATCACGTATTCGGAAGGACAAATAAAGACAGAGAGCATTCGAATGTTGAAGCGAAACAGCTGATTTCCGCAGTCGTCTTGAATTTTGCAGTTGGTTTCTAAATCAAAATGCATCGGATCCCAACTTTATTAACGAAGGGCTATGGACAGATGAGTGAATATTTTCTTAGCCGTACTGTCAATAGGTAGGTACCATATTACTCTTTGAAAAGCAATGAATCAAACAATAAGATATACGTACTACAATCTGAATAACTAATTGAACATAATGCTAAAAACACATATTCAATTATAAAACATAGTGAAAACGTTAACAATATTAAAAATACTAAATTGTAATAATTTAACAATCGAAAACAATTATCATCCTTATACATTTGTTTTTATTAACAAATAAGTAATACTTGTAAATATTTAAAATGTAAAAAAATATATTATTTATTCATGTGTCTAGGTAAAAAGTTCTGTTCATTCGTTGTCGTTCACAACGGATTAAAAACGCATTTAAAGCTAGGTTAATGACCCAAGGCAGGCAAGATTCACTCTCGATAAATCAGCGGTCAGGACCGGTCCGAAAAGATGTTTAGATAATAATTTGGAAATATGTTGTTTCAACGTAAATATGCGTTAAAATTTCGTTAATAGCGTATTCGTATTCCACTCATTTTTCCCTATCTTCCCCTAAAATTAATGACATTATGACTGAATCGCCCTATGTATTTGTGCAGAGGGTCACTGTTTTGTGAAACTAATCCTGCATTTTTCTAAAAGTGTAATACTAATGTGTACCAAAATGGTAAAAACTGTTCAGAAAAGTCAAAAAATCATTTTGGTTTGAAAGAAAAATTTACAATTCAAAAATTTTTATTGTTCAGTGGCGGGCCATCATTTTTGAGAAATATTTGTCTACTACACTGGTTTGATTTTTTTCTCATTGAATGCTATTTTATTCCGGTGTTGTATCCATAAAGTTTCATTTCAATAGTTTATTTACAGACATAGCTTTTTCTCTGAACACCCTTTGGCCTAAAACAGTGACTTCGGAAGCAATTTTAAATAGAAAAGTGCCAATATTTTTACTTCCTCTATGGGTTCCTTGAAATTAAAACTCGGGACGCCCTGTATATATTCATGTTCTACTTTACTGTTTGTTATTATATTTGAATTATTAAATGAGGTTACAGAGGTGATATATATCTGCATACATGTAACTGATCATTTATTTATATGTAATTCATTTTCAATGTACAAGTACTACAAATGCAAACATTGTGTTTCATTAAAAAAATCCATATTTATTTGGATATACATATTAATAATGTAGAATCTCATCCATCACAGCGGAATATATAAACAGACATAATGGTTGATGCATACTGAGACTTAAGACATATATCGATGGATTTTCTGAAGAGGTCGAGACTAGTCGATTTAATTTATATAAATATTTAAAAAAATAGGTGTGAACATGATTTAAAAAATAATCTTCCTAACCCAGAATTATATTAGAGTATAACGTATTTAGAGAACAACATGCATTAATTTTAATTAGTACTTTTTGAATTATTCGCGGTAAACAATACCTAGAATATTTACATTTTAACTTATTAAATAGAAACTTGTCCTTTTATTTATTTATTTTTTTCTACATGGACAATAAATTTATAACATGGTTATTTACTTACTATATTTTTCCTTCAGAAAGGATATTAATTTTGGAAATTTGCTAAAACCGATGTTTTTAAATTATTAACATTGTTTTAAGCATAGAATATAGACTCTATAGATTTGACGACTTTATTTGTTTAATTTTTCGACTAAATACATACCTTTCGTATCTTTTCCTGGATTTTTCATAACTGGTGGCAGCAGCAGCTTCTTAATATGGAATGGAATGTTTTCTTCTTCACTTTCATCGCTGTTCACCTTTTAAAAAATTTAATAATATTTTTTTAATAATGTAAAATATAAGAGTAAAAACTTTTTATAAGATAAAATTTCCGCGAAAATGCGAAAAACAGTTTTTTCCGATTTTTTATTTATTCGTTCGTTTATTTCTCATTTCCGCAAAAATAACTTAATTCTGACGAAACTTGGTAAAAGTAAACTTTTTATGTCTTAAATGACCACAATTTTTTTTTAGATAAAAAAATCAAGAAGTTTCCGAGATATTCATTTTTTCCGGTCTGAAACACTTTTTTTCAAAGAGAAATTCTACTTAGGAAACTATAAACATCTAAGTCGAATTACAAATGCACAAATGATAAATTATTTCTGGATAATTTGAGATTTTAGCAATACAAAGTATTAACTGCAAAGTTTACTGTTAATGCGAAGCCCGAAAACCCGAAATTTTGCAAAATCGTTTTATTTTTTTAGCTTGATTTAGCTATCATTTAAAATTTTCCCTGTTTACGATTCTGAACGCAACAATTTTTTTTTACTACTGTTCTAATTAGAAATAAGAAAACATTTCATCGTATTATTTTTTTATTAGGTACAACTTTTTAAATTATTGATTAAAAAAATTGTTGAATATGTTGTGCTGTATTGACTATTATACTGTTATGACTTCCTCCAATAGATATTTTGAAAGCGATCAGAGCCGTACTCAGGAAAAATTTTAAATGATAGCTAAAAACCTTTTTAAGAAGCGATTACCATAGCAATATCATCTAATTCAGAATTAAAAATGACTAGATTTTTGTCATAAAAATAGCAGCGACGTATTTAAAAAATTAACCTGATGGTGGCCCCTCGAAGACGAAACATCGGATTGCAAAAATGTTGACGCCATTGGATAGAGCGAAAAAAGTGGCAATGTAAATATGAATTTATTTTAAAATTCGTTTTCAAATAAAGCCAGAAAAAAATTAAACAATTTTGCAAAATTTCCGTTTTTTCCGGATATCTCCGGAACTACCCATAATTTTAAAACTTTCTAAACGGCATATTGTTAGGTATAAAAAAACACCACTTTTTTCTAATCTGAAAAACCCCGTATCTCTCACCGTTTCCTAAATCCTAATGCTAGCATATCCTTATCTTGGACACACTGTATATTTATGAATCATAAAAATTTTTAAAAAATAAGTATACTCTAATCGATCCTACGGAAAACAAATTATTATTTATTTTATTTATTCACTATTCGAAATGTTTATAGCAATACTGTACAAAAATAAAGTTTTGGATCAAACAATGAGACAATTTTTTTTGTATTTTTTCCATACAATTGAATGGTGTAATTAGTTTTTGATTTTTTTCAAATTTAAACAAATTATCAACAATTACTGAATAATTCATTGTTGCAAGTCATTTTTATATTTTTGCATTTTTGAACATGTTTTTGAACTGGGATTACAGATTTTTTTTATTTCACCAAAAAGTATATGTCAAAATGAAAAAAATTATCATCGGCAGAACTCTGTACAATGTTTTTTCGAAGTAAAATTTTTCTCTGAAAAAAAATGTGTCAGATCGGAAAAATGAATATCTCAGAAACTTCTTGATTTTTTTATCTAAAAAAATTTGTGGTTATTTAAGATACAGAAAGGTATACTTTCCCCAAGTTTCGTCAAAATTAAATTATTTTTGCGGAAATGAGAAATAAAAAACGAAAAATCAGAAAAAAACTGCTTTTTGCATTTTTCGCGGAAATTTTGAGGTTATCTTAAAAAGTGACCTCTACAAAAGTAGATTTTTGCATGATCTACAACTTTTATACTGGATATTTTTTTGTTTGACGTCAACTTTCGCCAGAAATCCCAATGGTACAATTTTTCACAATTTCTCAACCCCCTAAATCAACCCTCCGCCACCCCTGCTCACGCATTTATTTTTTCTTTCGTTTATTATCAACCCCTTTACCATTTCCACTTATAAAAGTCCAGATAACAATTTTTTTCCCCTCCCCTGAATGAATTATTTCGATCGGTCTATTTCTCCAATCGTGTTTTTTGAACGTTTGATATCGTAACCCAACATACATTTATTCTTATATCTTTCTTGATCATTTGTCTTTCACAAACTTTGGTCTTTTCCTTTCCCTCGACGACGCGCCGTCCGCATGGAACTTCCTCGAAGGAATTCGTTGTCCCTACTTGTTAGATGTACCTTCATTACCGTAGTTGTATGAGAAATATTTTGTGGTTAAGGCAAACAATCAATCATCCTGTTTGGC